GGCGGGGGGGGAGGGCGAGAGAACAGTGGCGCGGGAGGGGACCGCATAGGTGCACTCTGCGCCACAGCCGAGCACGACGCCGCTCTCTTTGCCGGCGGCGTAGAGCTCGAAGACGGGCGGTGCCGAGAGGAAGACGCCTGCCACCTGCGGGCGGCAGGGGGGAGGGGAGGGGAGGGCGGGTGGCGCGGGGAGGCAGGGATGTGTGTGTGTGTGTGTGTGTGTGTGTGTGTGTGTGTGTGTGTGTGTGTGTTGCGTGTAGGAGGAGGACAGCGTTGGTGTTGGGCGGATGCCTGCAGAGGTAGAGACGGCCGAGAGACGGGAGGCAGAGGCAGTGGCGGGAGGCAGTCGGTGGGGGAGGGGAGGTGCATGAGTGTGGAGGAGAGGGTGGAGGGTGGAGAGGGCGGCGGGGCGGCGGCGGCACCGCAAAAGACTCAAAGAGCGACTGGGCCATGCGTTCTTTGTTGAGCTTCGTCTCGAAGAGGTGCGCGGTGGTGATGACGTGGCACGCCTTGGGGCGGTGGCGGGGCGGCGACGGGTTGAGTCAGGGAGGTGGTGGAGAGAGGCGAGGCACGGCGGCGATGGGTGTGAGAGGATCGCTCGGTGGCGTGGATGGCGTGGCGCACCTCGGTGTCGACGCCGAGAGCGTGGGTGAAGGCGTGGTCCCAGTACACCTCCATCGCCTCCCAGTCCTGAACCACGCCAGCCTTGAGCGGCACGGCACCATTCGCCTCCTCCAACCCCGTCGTCGGCACGACTGCACGCGGCGTCTCCTCGCCGCAGAAGCCAATCTTGATGCTGCTGCTGCCGCTGTCGAGGGCGATTGCCGGCCGCTCGGTCTTTGCAAACAGGTCCGTCCGCGGCATGCTTTGCGACCCGGGGCGCTAGCGTTTTGTGCGCCCTGGGAGAGCAAAATAAGAGGGCTCCCGCGGCGATCAACACCGCACCTCCTTTTCTAAATTTCACCATCCACTCGCCCAGCAGCCGCCGCTTCGTCTCGTCGGAGACGTGCACGCAGCGCTGCAGCAGCGCCGCCGTCTCGTCCTCGGGCCGCTCCAGGTCCATGACGACGTTCGTCGAGGCGTGGAAGCGCGTCTCCAGGTCGATGGCCGCCTGCTCGGCCGCGGCGAGCTTGCCCTGGTCGACGCACATGCCGCACACCGCGTGCGCCGGGCAGCCGCACTGGCCGCGTTGTGGGCGCACGGTCTTGGCGACCGCCGGCGCTGCACGCCGGTCGTGCTGCTCACGCTGCCGGCGGCGCTGGTCGCGCGCCTGCCGATCGCGCGTGTTCGCGGCGGCTGCATCTCCTGCTCGTTTCGCTCGCACCCGAGCGGCGGTCGCCAGGCGCTTCAGGTCGGCGGTGCTGCGCGCGCGGCCGTCGGCTCTGCACAGCCACATGTCCTCCTCCTCGGCAGGCTCGCACGGCTTGCCGTCGAACTGCGGCGGGAACCCGCGACGACGCTTCGCCCAGGCCGGGCACGATGGTGCCGCGACGAGCGGCGTCGAGGCGACGGCCATCGATGGGTCCAGAAGACTTGGAGACACTTCTAAACCAAAAAATCAAAAAAAGCGAGCACAAGTGCGTTACATGGGCATGGCCGGCGTTTCTGCACCGAACGATCTTACTTTCGGTCTATCGAAAGTGTTGATCGATAAGAATTTGGACCATGGGACCAGGAGGAGAACGACGAGAGTGGGACGACCGCGAGGTGGCAGCATGAAGGTTGCAGCGAGAATCGGCGAGGGACTGCGAAGGGAGATAGAAAGAGGCAGACGACCAAGGGTTAGGGTGGGCGACGGCTAGCACCACACTCCTCTCGCTCTCCTTCAAATCCCTGTGTGGTGGCGGCGTCCCGTGCCGTCCTCCCATCCCTCCCTTGGGTTGTCTGTTTTCTTTCTTTTAGACAGGCTCGACACAGGTGCGGACTGGCGCGTGCTAGCACCGCTATCACAGGCAAACCACCGGAGGCGGAGCCGCCTAACCCTAAGCCCTAAGCCTTAGGGGACCCCTAGGCTTAAAAGGGTGGGCCCTGGGGCGCCTGCGGCTTAAACGGCTTAAAACCGGCCTAGGCCGGTTTTAAGAGCTGCTGGGCCGCCGATTCCTTAAACGGTCTTAAACGGTCAAACGACTCGGCAGCCTCGGCCCGCGCCCTTAAACGCGATCACACCATGAATGGTCTATACTCAAAACTTGCCGACGGGCGGCGAAAGCTCTTCGCTCGGCCCCGAGAGCGCTTCGCTCTCTGCCGCCCGCCCGCCCGCTCGCTCGCCCGCCCGCCCGCCAGCCTCCCCGCGCTTAAACGCTCTAAATGGCTCAAATGGCTCAGGTTGGGCGCGGTGTGCGATTCTCTTAAATGGTCTCTTAAATGGGAGCGGCAGCATGGGCCCAATCTCTTAAACGCACCGAGGCGGCTCTGTAGCCGCCAATCTCTTAAAAGGTCTTAAAAAAATCCGGCCCTCAGAACCCTAGGGGTCCCCTAAGCCCTAAGCAATATACGAATTTTTCACTTTTTGTTCTTCTTCCATCTTCGCAGTTTTCTTTTTCTTTCCCTCGATGGGTGTGCCCCTTCCCTCTCTGACCACTTGGCAGGCCACCGCCTCCACTCGGCTCAGCAGGCCTCCGCTCACTTCCCCACCTCTGGGGATCGCTGCGAGTCTTCGGGCTCTGCGGAGTTTACTCTCCGCCTCGTTCTCTCGTCTTTTGACTTCGGCCCCTCACCGCGCTTCACCGCCCTCTGAGGGCAAGAGAGAAAGAGAGGGCCCAACTTGAGAATCGTGCTTTTTGTGAGGTTGTTTCGTGTTAGGTTGGGTTGTGCTTGGGTGAGGTTGTTCCGAGTGAGGTTGGTGGAGAAGCACAACCCTACTCTGTCGTGAGAGGCGGCGATACAGTCTCAGCCTTCGCGAAGATGCGAGCCCACGGAGGAGGTAGCCTCGATGGGAACAACCTCACCCAAACAACCGTCAACCTCACCCCAAAAGCACGATTCTCAAGTTGGGCCCTCCCTCTGCGCATGTCTTGTCGCCTACGGGCAAGGGGCTCGGGCCCAGGCCAACTCCTCACTGCTTGCCCGCCAAAAGAAAGCCAATTCTTCACTTGGGCCCTCGCCGAGGGCCCAAGTGAAGAATTGGCTTCCTGCGGGCGGCCTTCTCGATACACAAAGCGGCCAACCTCACTGCATAGTTGCAGATTGTCCATTGTAAGAGAACTTAATCCGCCATTTCTCTTTCCTGTGTACCTGTGAAATGCCAGTGCGCGCCAGTCCCGTGCCCAGTGTCGTGCAGGGAGAGGGTAATAAAATTCCTTTCCTGCTCAAGCCTAGGGTTAGGGTTAGGGTTAGGGTTAGGGTTCGGGGTAGGGTTATTAACCCTGGTAGGTGGATTGTCCAAAATACGTCAGCCTCGCACGCCTAGCGCTAGGTCTGACACCCGACCGCCCCCCCCTCCCTAATATTAACCGGTCAGAGTACATTTTGGCCGGCTAATGTTAGGGAGGGGAGGCCGAAAAACACATATTTTTGTCCACCTACCAGGGTTAATCAGCTGGACCGAATTTTACCAAGTTGGACGCCGTTGGACGTATCCAGTGTTCACTGTCTACGTGTAGCGACGGGCGCTGCGCGATAGCTGCTTTGTGGGTCCCGTGAGCCAAGTCGGCGTCGGGCTGCGCAGCCGGTCGCTAAATGTTCGCTCGCCGTGGTCACAAGCCATCGAGGAAGCCACCACACCAGGGCCACAATCGCGTTGCGGACCAGGTTTGTGACCCTGGCGGTGGCGAGCCTTTGGCGCACAGCGTGAGCATGCCAGCACGGCTCGCATCAGGGCTGCACCCGTCGCCGAGCACCTCGTGCACTCCACACGGATCGGGTGATGCCACGAGCCCGCTGCGCGGCTGCACCGAGTGACTCTCTGTGGCAGGAAGTGCACTTTTATGCCACATGTTGGCGTTGCCTCGCATGCCGAGTGGGCCTTCTGTCTCTGAGGAAGAACCGAAATGCGAATTCGCGCCCTGCCGATCTCCGAGTGGTCCCGAGGTCTGTGGACACGTGTGCAAGCGAGGCAGCCGCGATCGGCGCGTCTCTGGCATCTGCGTGGTGAGCGTCCCCACCCCACGTACACGTCCCAAGATGGTGACGAAAGCCGCGGCACTACTGGCGTGCCTCCTCGGCGCGGCCGCTGCCGCCGAACCTTACCAGGAGACTCCGGCTATATTCCTGATGTAAGCGGGCCTGATAGCTGAGCGATTTCGCACCATGCAAATAGGTCGAGTTTGAGATTACGCTCAAGAAGGTGACGCTCCCGGAACCGCGCTCACAAAACATCCCTGCCGGTGAACTCAGTCCACCTGATACTCTCTCAGGGTGAGAAGGCCAAGTTCACGGTTGAGGTATATCCCGACTGGGCGCCGCTCGGCGCGGCGCGCTTCCGCGAGATCATTGACGCCGGGATCTGGAAGGCTGCGCGCTTCTTTCGCGTGGTCTCTGGCTTCATGGTGCAGTGGGGCATACCGGGGAAGCCGAGCGCGGCCGCGGAATGGCGCTCGAGAGCGGAGCGGGAGCCCTCCGGGTGGTGTGATGACGCGTCCAAGACGAATTTCTGCACCCGCACAGGCGCGAAAAGAAGATCACTGACGACCCCGTGGCCAAGTCCAATGAGCGCGGCACCATCACGTTTGCCACTTCGGGCAAGGACTCTCGAACGACACAGGAACCCACGAATGGCGTTGCCCGCTCCTGCTCACGGGTCGAGACGGGTTGACGGACCCGCCCTTGCCCCGTGAACAGGTCTTCATCAACTTTGTCGACAACAAAAACCTCGACGGCATGGGGTTTTCGCCCTTCGGCAAGGTGATCGCGGGGATGGAGACGGTGGACGCCATCTACGCGGGCCACGGAGAAAGCCCAGATCAGGGCCGGATTCAGTCGGAGGGCAACTCGTACCTGAAAAAGTCGTTCCCGGCGCTCTCGTACATCAACTCAGCCACCCTGGTGATCAGCACGCCGCCCAAGGATGAGGCATAGACAGCCCAAGGATGAGGCATAGACAGGGTGGCTGGGCAGTGTGAACCGGCCCTCCAGACCTCGTGACGGCTCTCGTGCGCGGGGGCCCTCTGCCCGTTCAGAGCCACAAACGGCGTCAGTGTGAGTTTAGCTGGGACGCCTCTGTGTGTGTGCACAATCAAGAGAGGCTCAACTAGAAAAAGGAGCGCGGCGGAGGATCAGGAGGCTCCCCGCTGAGGTGTGCGCCGCGTGTAAATGAATAAAACGCTGTTGCGTGTTGGGGTCTCGAGGTTGGGCCAACGTTGGGGGGTTCTGTCAGTGAAACCCTGCTGGGTCGCCCCCTGTGAGTATGGTGTGTCGCGTGACGCGTGTTCGCCTTTTCACTTTTCGCGTGCGACCCTGCGGCCTGCGCGGAGAGCCCCTGGCCCCTTCAAAGCCCCTGCGTCACGCCGCTGCGCGCTGGGGCGGGGCGACGACGCGCACACCCCGCCGGGGGGCGTCCCGGATGCGTGATACATTTACGGTTTGAGTGTCCCGAACGAAAGGTGAGATACAATACGCTCCACGCGACCCTCGGCGGGCGCGCTATAGCGAGCGCGTCCACCAGATATCTATCTATCCAATTCCAAGTTAGCCGCCCAGCGCCGCCAGTGCTTCGCGCAGACGGCCATAGAATTCCCGAGTCCGATCCCTCCGATACGTTACCTTCACGAGCCCCCCCGGGTACACGCGTGGCTCGCCGTCGACGATCCACGCCTTGTCTGAGCCCGTTATGGCTCCAGGCGGAAAGAGGCGGACGCCGTCTCCGATCAACACTGGCACCGTCGTGATGATCATCTCGTCCACAAGGTCGTCCCGCAGCAGTGAGTGAATCCACGTCCAGCCGTCCAGATAGACACGCGTGATTCCTTCGCGCCCCATGTTGTCGAGAACCTGGCTGGGCGGTTCGGGCGAGGAATCTGCACCTGTGGGCTCATCTGTCAACACGGCATTAATGCCCGCGAAAAATTCGGCCCACCCAAGATCTTCATCCGAGTCGTCATTTGGGTACGGAAACCAATCGAGTCCACCATCTAGTCGGGCAATGTAGCCGTCGAGGCTCTGCGCAAGATACACCACCGTCACTGGACGGATAGAAGAAGTTGACGTCGCCGCCGCCGGAGGAGGAGGCGTCACGGGCTGGAACGGGCAGCTCGGAAGGTCGGCTGGCAGCGTGTCGCAGCCCGAAGGCTCGCGGGAGCAACGCATCGTGATGAGCGCAGACGCACCCACGAGCAGGCGGCGGGTCGTGATCAGTCTCCTCCCGGCGGGGAACATCCGCTCGCGCTTGCGGGACGTGCGAGTAAAGCAAAGGCACACGAAGTGTGGGAACGGGCCACCAGACATCAAGGAAGGGATTCAAGGAAAGGAGTGGGGTGCGGCCGTCTCCCATGGATGGGTGTCTGCCTCTCCCTACAACCTACACGTATCATCGCAGTCTCCGTCCCACTCTCGTCACGCCTCAGCCCAGGCTCCAGGCAGGCAGGAGTCTGGCTCTACAACTGACAGTGTGACAAACATCTCTCTAAAAAATATTTTATATACAATGTGTGTGTGTGCGTTCGTGTGGCAATGGGAGGAGGACAGGGTCCGCACCTAAGAAAGAAAGAAAGAAAGAAAGGAAACAGACAACCCAAGGGATAGATGGGAGGACGGCACGCCGCCACCACCCAGGGATTTTAAGTGTCCGCACGTGCATTCCGCGATAAAATTCTTTTACGGCTCCGGTGGTGAGCCGGTGTGTGTGCCAGTCCGCGCCAGTCCGCACCCTTGTCGTGCCAGTGTAAAGAAAGAAAGAAAACAGACAACCCAAGGGAGGGATGGGAGGACGGCACGCCGCCACCACACAGGGATTTTGAGGAGGGGTGTGTGGTGCGCTAGCCGTCGCCCACCCTAGGGAGTCTGCCTCTTCCTATCTCTCTTCGCAGTCTCTCGCCGCTTCTCGCGCCAGTGTGCTGTGAGAGAGGCGCCCTGAAGAATTCTTTTAGAGCTCTCGCGCTTCGCCCCTCTGGTCCTCCTGCAGCGCCATCCGCTCCTCTCGCTCGTGCTCGGCAGAGGAGATGCGCTTTCAGGTGGAGGAGCTGGAGGTGCAGTTCCCGTACCCGCGCATCTATCCTGAGCAGTACGCCTACATGGTCGAGCTCAAGCGCTCGCTCGACGCGCGAGGCCACTCGGTGGCGCCATCGCTGCCATCGCCACGCCCGCGCCGCACCGCTCGCGCCATGTCGCCGTCGCCTCGCGCCGACGCCTGGCCGTCGCGTGCGCCTCAGATGCTCGAGATGCCTACCGGGACCGGCAAGACCATCACGCTCCTCTCGCTCATCACGTCGTACCAGCGGGCGCACCCCGCGATGGGCAAACTGCTCTACTGCACGCGCACGATCCCAGAGATGGAGAAGGTGCTCGAGGAGCTCAAGGTGCTCGAGGCGCACCGCGACGAGCTCTTCGGCCAAGACCGCAAGGACAAGCTCTTCGCCGTCGGTCTCACCTCGCGCCGCAACCTGCGCGTGCCTCCCAAAGCCCTCAGCCCTCAGCCCTCGGCCCTCGGCCCAGCCCTCAGCCCACGCCCAGTCGGAGCCCGCCCCTGCCTTGACTGCTCCTCCGCGGAGCAGGTGCGTGCACGAGCGCGTCTCGCAGCAGACGGAGCGGCATCTCGTCGACCAGCACTGCCGCCAGCTCACTGCTTCGTGGGTGAGGGAGCGCGCGCGCGGAGGCGGCAGCGGCGGAGGCGGCAGCGGCGGCGGCGGAGGCGGCAGCGGCGGCGGCGGAGGGTGCGGGAGCGGGAGTGGGGACGGCGCGGGGCCGTCATCAGCCGGCGGAGGGGGAGGAGGCGACATCGAGGACTTGGGCGGCGGGCGCGGAGGCGAGCTGTGCTCGTACTACGAGGCGCTGGAGGCACAGGGCAGCGACGCGGCTCTCCCAGCGGCGGTGTACACGCTCGAGGTGCGGGCAGGGGGGTTGGGGGGTACGGCAGGGGGACGGGATGGGCCGGGCCCTCTTCACGCCGTGGTGTGCACTGCGGTCAGGAGCTCAAGGAGCTCGGGCGTGGCAAGGGCTGGTGCCCGTACTTCCTCGCGAGGCACGTGATCTCGTTCGCAAACGTGGTGGTGTACAACTACCAGTGCGCCAGCCTCGAGGCCGGCAGAGGGCCGGTGCGGAGGCGCACCTCACCCCCGGCGGCCGTAACAACAGGTACCTCCTCGACCCGAAGATCTCTCAGCTCGTCTCGCGCTCGATGCAGCGCGAGTGCGTCGTCGTCTTCGACGAGGCGGCAGACACACCCCAGACACACCGCAGACACACCCTCCCTTGACGCTTCCTAGACACTTTCTAGACACTTCCTCGACATCTCCTAGACACGACCGCCCTCTAGGCGCACAACATCGACAACATCTGCATCGAGGTCATGTCGATCAACTTTCGGATGCCCACACTCGAGGCCTCCCCAGACACTTCCGAGACACTTCCCACACCCTTCCTAGACAGTGCCCACCCTCGCCGCCTGCCCCTCCCGCGCGCCGAGCAAGTGTCTTGCAAGTGTCTCGCAAGTGTCTCGGGGGTGTCTAGGCCGCCTCCGCCAACCTCTCCCGCGTGCAGCGCGAGATCTCGAGGCTCAAAGAGTCTGACGCCGCGCGACTCAACGACGAGTGCGCCATATACACGTTTATATACCGCCGCCCCCGCCGAGAGATGACGGGAGGCGTGCGCTCCCCGAGAGGCGGTGCACCACCGCACAGGTACCAGCGCCTCGTGCACGGCCTCGCAAACAGCGGCGCACTCAACGCAAGCGACGAGCTCGCTGCGAACCCGCTGCTGCCGCAGGTGAGGCCTGGCCGAGGCCTGGCCGAGAGATGGCCGAGAGATGGCCGAGGCCTGGCCGAGAGATGGCCGAGAGATGGCCGAGAGATGGCCGAGAGATGGCCGCAGTGCTCTGCCGCCGGCCACGTCGCCAGACGAGCCGAGCCGAGCCGAGCCGAGCCCGCCGCCTCAGGACATCCTCCTGCAGGCCGTGCCGGGCAACTTGCGCCGCGCGGACTCGTTCGTGCTCTTCCTGAAGCGGCTGGTGGCGCACCTCAAGAAGCGGCTGCAGACGGAGGAGGTCGTGCAGGAGACGCCGCTCGCCTTCCTCTCGCAGCTGCTGCACGAGGAGGAGGGCTTCCTAGACACTTGCTAGACACTTGCTAGACACTTCCCAGACACTTCCTCTCGCAGCTGCTGCACGAGGAGGAGAGCTCGCGCCTCGCGCTCCCGGCCACGCCGCCGCCTGCCCCTCGGCGCACCGCCCGGCTGCTCCGCGCGAGTAGGACATCGAGCCAAAGCCGCTCAAGTTCGTCGCCGAGCGGCTGCGCTCGCTGCTGCGCACGCTGCAGGCGGCGGACGCCGCGGGCACTCTGTGGTGGTCTTCGCACCTCGGCGGACGTCGAGTGAGCACTCTCTCTGCAGGTGACGGACGTCTCCGACTTCAACCCGCTGCTGCTCGTCGGCGACTTCGCCACGCTGCTCGCCACGTACAGGCAGGGCTTCTGCATCATCATCGAGCCGTACGACGAGCGCTCGCCCGCCCTCCCCGACCCGCTCTTCCAGTTCTGCTGCAACGACGCCTCGATCGCGATGAAGCCGGTCTTCGAGCGCTTCCAGTCCGTCGTCATCACCTCGGGCACCCTCTCGCCCCAAGAAGCTAAGCGGGGCGCTTTCATTACTAACCAATGACTCGTTGGTAACAACAGGCACCCTGTCGCCCATCGACATGTACCCCAAGATTCTCGGCTTCGAGCCGCGCGCCGTCCACTCCTTCGCCATGTCCTTCTCGCGCGACATCATCCTCCCGCTCGTCGTGACGCGCGGCGCCGACCAGGCGCCGCTCTCGTCCAAGTTTGACCTGCGCTCCGAGCCCACCACCGTGCGCAACTACGGCAAGCTGCTCCTCGACATCGCCGCCACCGTGCCCGACGGCGTGGTCGCCTTCTTCACCTCGTACTCGTACATGCAGCAGGTCGTGCGCGAGTGGCACGCGCTCGGCATCCTCAAGCGGGTGCGCGCGCTCCCGCCTCCGCCTCGTCTCGCGAGACCCTTCTCCGAGGCGCCTCGGAGCCCTCCCCGCAGGTGCTCGAGCACAAGCTCGTCTTCATCTCCCCATACCTCCCCATATCTCCCGTATCTCCCCATATCTCCCCACATCTCCCCGCAGGTGCTCGAGCACAAGCTCGTCTTCATCTCCCCATACCTCCCCATATCTCCCCACATCTCCCCGCAGGTGCTCGAGCACAAGCTCGTCTTCATCGAGACGACCGACGTGCTCGAGACCACCATGGCGCTCGAGAACTTCAAGCGCGCGTGCGACTGCGGCCGCGGCGCCGTCTTCCTCTCGATCGCGCGCGGCAAGGTTGCGGAGGGCGTCGACTTTGACCGCCACTACGGGCGCGCCGTCCTGCTGCTCGGCGTGCCCTTCCAGTACACGCTCGGCCGGGTGCTGCGCGCGCGGCTCGAGTTCTTGCGAGACACGTGCGCCATCGACGAGGCGGACTTCCTCACCTTCGACGCCATCCGGCAGGCGGCGCAGTGCGCCGGCCGCGTCATCCGCGGAAAGACGGACTACGGCATCGTCGTCTTTGCGGACAAGCGGTACAACCGCGCCGACAAGCGCGACAAGCTGCCGGGCTGGATCCGCCAGTTCATCACCGACGGCTCGCTCGACCCGCTCCTCCGGCCTCGCCTGCGTGGGCCGCGCCTCTTCACACCTCTGGCCGTGATCAGGCTCGCTCAACCTCTCCTCCGACCTCGCGATGCACCGCGCGAGGCAGTTCCTGCGAAAGATGGCGCAGCCAGCCACCACGGCGCGCAGCGTCCCCTCCCCTCGGCCGCGAGAGACCTGGGGAGGCCCCGACGCGCCCCGCGCCATCACTTGCGCACAGGCGGAGACGGTCTCGCTCGACTTTGAGCAGTTGCGGCGGTCGAACGCGTACGTCGCCTCCGCCGCGACCGCCACCGCCGCCATCACGTCGCACCCGCTGCAGGCCACCGGCCAACAGCTGCCCGACCAGCCCGCCGACCAGCCGGAGCGATTCGCAGTGGAGATGGATGAGGCGGAGGCGATGGAGATAGCCGTGTGAGCGAGAGCGGTGCAGGAGCGGTGGCCCCCGCGCGCGCGTCACTTCCTCTTGGGACAACACTTTTGTGTATTGCTATTGTGATGGCGCGGCGCGCCGTACTGTACGTGTGCCAGATATGTCTTTGTGTATTCTAATGATGAAAGCAAATATCAGATACCGTGACGATTCACACACACAGGCCGCCCCGCCCCCGCTCACGGGTGACACACACGTCTTCTGGTGGGGCGTCCGACCACACAGCCAGACATGGAAGGCGGCGCGACGCCGCACAAGCCACACACGCGAGGCGAGGCGGCCTCGCCAAGACTAACACGCAATCCCACACCACGCCGTGCCGCCGGGATGGTGAGTGGGGTGTGGGGTGGCGAGGCGTCACAGCCAGACGTCCACCCAATGCCACTTGACCCAGAGCCCCTGGATCGCCAGCAGCAGCAGCGCCTCGGCGAGGGCTCCCGCGACCGAGGAGGTGCCTATCCCGGAGTCGGAGGAGCTCAGCCGAGGCCCTCGCCGAGGCTGCCGGTGTCAGAGGCGGCTCGCCACCCCCGACGGAAGGCTCGGCCGCCTCGCCCATCGCCTCCGCCACACCCGCGGCAAGCGCGGCGGACTCCTCCGCTGTGAAGCCTTGCGCGCGGGCCTCTTCGGCGATGAGACGCCCAGCGGCACGCACTGCCTCCCCTCCGCCTCCGCCTCCGCCTCCTCCTCCACCTCCCCCGTCCCCCCCGCCTCCCCCCGCGCCCCGCACCCCCTCCTCCGCCCCCGCCCCCGCCGCACCCTCCGCGCCAGTGACGACAAACGCGCGGGTGCCGAGGCCGAGCTGCATGATCTGCCGCAGAGACCCGGCCTGGCCTGCACCACCACCACCACCGCCACCGCCACCGCCTCCGCCACCGCCACCGCCTCCGCCACCGCCTCCGCCACCGCCTCCTTGGCTGCTTCCCACGCCGCCTCCGCCTCCGCCTCCGGCGCCCGCCGCGCCCGCCGCACCCGAATCTCCGCCCCCCGCCCGCGCTTTCAGCCTAGCGCGCAAGACGTCCTCCCGGAGGGTGCTGTGCGCTGCCCTGCCCCCCGTGCCGCCGCCGCCCGCCCCGCCACGCGCTATCGCCTCTGGCGTGGGCGGCGTGGGCGGCGGCGGGTCGGGCTGTCGCCGCCCAAAGCTCACCTCTCCCGCGTCCGTCTCGGCCTGCGTGGCGCCGAACACCTCGAGCTCGGCAAAGTGCAGGCAAGCGGAGCCGGCAGGCAGCCCGCCGTCCGGCGTCCGCACCTAAGGTAAGGTCCAAGAGGACACGTCCATGACATGTCCGAGACATGTCCGGCAGGCAGCCCGCCGTCCGGCGTCCGCACCTGTGCGCCCGAACCACCCAAACTCTCCGACGCACCCGGCCGCTCTCTCTCGCCAACCCCCCTCCCCCCTCTCTGCGATCTCTCAGAGTCAAGCGTGCTCCGTCGGCCCCACCTCGACGGCCTCCTCTCCGCCCACATCTCGCCCACTCTCGGCTCCCCCTCGCCGTCAGGTACGACACGTGCTCTGCCGGAGGCTGCAGCGTCCAGACGTACCGCTCGCGCGCCGAACCGACGAGCAGCGACCGCAGCGGGGTCCGCCGGGCGGTCTCATACGTGGCGCGCACCTAAGCACGCCGCCTCCGAGTGTCAGCAGGCGCGCCGTCCCAGCGCCGGCCCACCTCGCTCCAGGAGCGCGCCGCCGCCGTCGCGGGCACCGCCGGGAGGTTGGCGGCGGAGCCGTCCGCCTTGGCGGCGGCGAAGGAGGCGGAGGCATGGAGGGAGAGGCGGGCGCCGACGAGGCGGTAGAGGAGGTCGTTCGAGGAGAGGGGTCGGTTGTGCAGCGCCACCTGGCGAGAGGCCGGGCGACGCTCTCCCGCCCGTCTCCTCGGGTCGTGTGGTGCGGTCGTGGAGGCGAGGCGAGGCGAGGGAGGCGAGGCGAGGCGAGGCGAGGCGAGGCGAGGCGAGGCGAGGCGAGGCGAGGCGAGGCCCGTGCGACGCCTGGTGGACGGCGATCGGCTGCGCAAAGGTGAGGTTAAACCACTGCGGCCCGCCTGTTCACAGCTTGACCTGTGAAGAGCCGCTCCTCACCCCAGCCGCCGGCCGAGGCTGCCGCGAGGCTGCCGGAGCACTCCGTGTGCACGTAGGACCCCGCCACCCGGCCGTCAATGGCAGCCTGCGCACAGCGCGAGGAGGTTGGGGGAGGGGAGGGAGGGAGGGGAGGGGCGGGAGGGCGGGAGGCGGCCGCCTGCACGCCCGCGTTCTCCGCGTGCGGCCAGGCTGACGACATCGCCGCACTCGAGCCCTCCGAAGAGAGGGCGAGGTTGCGGAGCGGCACGCCGCGCAGGTTGAGGCAGCGAGGCACGCCGAGCGGGGAGGCGGCGGGCAGGTCACACGCCTCCTCGCGTGCATGGTACGCCGCCTCGGCCGGGCAGGCTCCCTCGCAGCAGTACGGTCCGGTCGCCGATGAGGCTGGCTCATAGGCGAGGCGCGTGCCGCCATTCATGCGGCGGTAGGTGACGCCGTGGCACGGCGTGCGCTGCTTGACCAGCGTCAGGTGCGCCGGGTCCTCGAACCACGTGGCGGACGCCTTGAGCAGCATCGGGTACTTTCGAGAGGTGACCATCCCAGTGCCGAGCGCAGTCGTGATGGACATGCAGTCGGGGATCGCGTCGCATAGCTCCTGCGCACGGCCAATCGACATCGTGCCATTGAGCAGGTCCGAGCCCATCACCACCCAGCCGCGGTACCGCGTGTAGGAGTGAGCGACGGCCGGCGACATCTTGATATGTGTGCCCCAGGCAGAGCCTTCGTGCGCCGGGAGGCCGCCGGGAGGCCGCCGACTTTACAAAAAGAAATAACGCGTGCCCAGCGGAGCTGTGAAGAGGACCGCCGCAAGCGGCGTGGCGTGGAGCGGTTGCGCATCCCTCCGGGGGCCCCTCTGCGCCGGGGAGGCGTTGTTGGAGGCTAGGACGCAAGCGTCCGTCGCCCTTTTCAAACTCGGGGCCCACTCCGCTACGCTCCGACCCGAATTTGGAGGGCCTAAAAGTTTAAGGTGTTGCTGCGCAAAAGGGGTCGGACACCGGGCGCAGCTCATGCTAAGAGCTAGAAGAGGAGATAGAGAGAACAACCACCCTGTCCCGTTATTGCGTACACCAACAAACACCACAAAACGCTCTCTCTCCTGTCCTCACTCAGGGGGGTCACAACTACCAAGTCCCTCGACTAGCTGCCACAGGGCGCAGCTGCCACAGGGCGCAACTGGAGACGCTCCCCCTCAATCGGCATCCACCCCCACCCGCTCCAGCCCCACTTCTGCTGCCGAGAGAGCTGAATCGAAGCAAGCGAGCCATTGCATCTTGGCGTGCTCCTGGAGCGCGGCTTTCTGCGGCTACGAGCACGGCGGAGTCGGCGCCGTAGCGCGCATCGTTCCCGCTCATCGCCCATTCCTCCCACGTGACGTGTGTCGGCCGCGATTCGATGTCTCCACCTTCATCGCCAACGAGGACTCCCTCGACTGCAGGGGGGCTCCGGCGCGGGGAGGGACTCCGCCTGCTGCGCTGGCCGACTGCGCCCTCCTCCTCCATGGGATCGATCCGATTCCGCAGCGGCGGTGCTGCGCGGGAGGCGGCCGCGGGCACGCTGGGCTCGATCAGCGGCTTTCCCCTCAGGTAGCGCGAAAAGCACGATTTGGCGGATTCTTGGCTTCAATTTTACGAATGTCTTGGCACCAGCTGAAGGCTTGGGTCCGACATCGCCGGATTCGTGCACGGTATTCGGATTTTGCTATTTGCTCGTGTGGGGGTATATTGCAGATTTGTCAATGGTACCGCGTCTGCGACGCGGGCGCCTTGCGAGCAGAGCCCTATGGACACCCTTCTTTATCTTGCGCGGTCAAAAGAATCGAAGAAAGCCTGCAGGCGCCGTGGCAACATTTGAGGCCGTGCAGACAATGATACTCTCGGCGCTCGCTCGCGTCACCGGCAGGTCACCGGCGCCACCGCTGCCTCCTCCTCCGCCCGCTTTCCCTATCGCAGTCGCCGCGGCTGCCACAGTCGCTCTGGTTGTCGCTGCGCTGTTCATAATGGTTGGCCGGCGCCGCAAGGAGAACGTGCTCGCATCTGTGCTCGCATCTAGTTGGCGCGTCGCGAATGTCGCCCTGCTACCCGTGCTCCTGCTCACTGTGGCTGAGCCTCGTGCGTCGCCGCTGCTCCTCGGCGTGATGGCCGTGGCATCGCTCGGCGCCGCTTCTTGTCTGATCGGCACCGCTTCTCTGCGGCCAGCAAAGTCGGCGCCGCCTTCGCGAGCGTTGTCTGCGCCGTCGCCTACGCCCGATGACTGCGGCGGCGGCATGGCCACGCCCGACGAGCTCGCGGTCATCTATGCCGTCAAGCACTCGCTCCGTCAGTCGCCGCCGCCGCCCAACCTGCCTGAGGACGGGAAGGTGGTGGCCGTGCAGCTGCTGCGAGTGGTGCGGGAGCACGGCACCGACGCGCGCGCGGTCGAGCGGGTGTACCGGCGCGCGCTCGCGTGGAAGCGGGACAACCTGCCGGACAAGCCCGAGCTCGACGCCCTCGCAGAGTCGCGCTGGCTCTGCGCGGCAGAGATGCCTCACGGAGAGTGGGCGACGCGACACCCTGGCGCTGCTCGGACGCGAGAGTGCCGCCACGCGTGATCCCCGTCGTCCTTGCCGTCGTAGGCGGTGGGGCACTGGCCAATCGGCTTCCACTGCGGCTACTCGAAGTCTGGCAGCCCGGTCAAGATCGAGCGCCTCGGCGCGTGCGCGCCTCCGTCGGATACAAAGCTGCTCTACCCCTATTACCTCGCCCTCGTCGACACGCTGCAGCGCCGGCTCGACCGCACCTCCGTCACGAGCGGGCGGCTGCAGCAGACGTACGAGCTCTTCGACTTGGCCGGGCTCGGCACGCGCAGCTTGGTCGACTTCACGACGCCTCCCTGTCCCCGACATGTCCTCGACACGCCCTGCGCCTGTCCCGCAGGCACGCACATGGTCACCTTTACCACGCTGAGCTTCACAAAGGCGACACCCGGTGGACACCCCGCCTTTTTTTTTCCTCCGCCGGGCCCTTGACCTGGCCCCCCCCCCCCCCCCTCTCCCCTCCCGGCCCGCTGCCCTCTCCAAGCCGCGTACTCCAACAGCTAGACTCGCGGCGTCCGGCGCCCGCGCAGGACGTGATGCTCGCCTTCGCCACGCACTACCCGTCCTCCTTCTCCAAGGCGGTCGTGATCAACGCGCCCTCCTTCATGGCGCGCCTCTACCGCATCCTCTCGACGGCGCCTGCGGAAGGCAGACGCCGGCGCGGGGACGGGGCCGCTGCTCCTCACACGGCTCGTGGCACGAACAGGTGCTGCCCGCCTCGGTCAAGGCCAAGGTCAGCATCCTCGGCGCCGAGTACGAGGCCGAGCTCGCCAACGACCTCACGCCGGAGACACTCTACTGGGTGACCACCGCGTCGCACGCACAGCTCTGCCGAGCGCCCTTCAGGGACGGCGCAGCCCCGGCGCAGCCCGCCGGCAGTTCGAGGGCCGTGCGCTGAGGCTCACCATGGCATGCCTCGCCTCTCACGATCCATGTCGAGCACCGCAGTCACCCAGTACAGTTACAGTTGTTTGTTAGTTTGGGCGGGAGGCTGGCGCTGTGTACAATCGTTCGTGGGTTTGAGCTCCAGCTTGTGGAGCACTTCGCGCGCGTTTATAAATAAATAGTAGTGCAGGCATCTCTCCATGTTGAGAGATGGGCGACGCGCGCGTTTTGCACTTGGGGCAAGACTTGGCTCTTCCGTCTTGTGACCGTCTTCGCACTTCGGGGTGTCCCATCCCCCATCCGCGAGTTTCTTGCCGCGCGCCAGTCCCGGTCCAGTACTAGAATTTTAGGAGTAAACTCCATTAATTAAAAGAATTCAACGAGCCCAACTCTCTCTCGGCACACAGGTTCGAAACATTTGGGGGGGGTTGACCAGAGCTTGGCAACCTTGCTTTCACGACCGTGAAATCAAGTACGTATTGCAAGAACGTGGGCGGAAATGCCCCCAGCCCACACGACCTTGCTGACGACACGCCAGCGCCCCTCGCGTACGTGCGCCTCAGCTCAATCACGGACGTACTTCAGACACTACGTACGTACTGTCAAAACAGGGACGTACATACATGCAAGTACGACCTTAAGCCTCAAATTTTCTCTTCGGCTCGCTCCGCTCGCTTCTGTGCGCAATAGCCGGTCCTCGCGCCGGACGTCGGCGGCTCCTGGCCCTATCCTGGCCCTAATCTACGCAGAGAACCCAGCCGGGGCGGCCGCCGTAGCCCTCGGCCCAAACGTATCCCTGGCCGTTCACCAGCGGCGCGTTCTCGGCCGCGACCTCCTCGGTCATACCTTCGGTGTCGCAGTGGTCGGTCGTGGTCCCACCGTCGGTCGTCATGCCGAGCGCGACGCGCTCCTTGTGAGCCGCGAGCCACGCTGCGATTGATGCGTCCGCGCGCTCATTCGCTTCATCCAGGCGCTTGTTGAAGTCTGCCGCCACCTTCTGCCACTGCCGCTGCCGCTGCGCCCGCAGCCGCTGCACGGTCTCGTCAGTCAGCAGCGTCTTCGACTGGCGGTCCTCGATCATGGCCGCCTGATGCCGCAAGAACCAAGCAGACCTTCGAGGGCCAGACATGGTTGGGCCAAACTGTCGCTCGAAGACACGCGGCAAATGATTGTACGGTCGTGATTTTACGGTCTTGAGAAAAAGAAGCGCCCTCGGGCAAAAAAGAATTATAGTTAAGCGCTCGGAGCACTTGTTAAGATGTACACAAACAGCGCACCCACGGCGCACCCACCCCACCCTCCCACGCCGACCACTGCTTCGTACCAACAGCCGCCCCCTTTTGGCAGACGCCAAAGGACCACATCTTGCCGGGCGCAGAACCCTTGGGCATCGTGGGTGCGATGTAGTCGTCGGTCTTGCAGCGGGAGGCGGCCCACTGCTCTGCAGTGCAGCCTTTCCACTCCGGCCGGGACTGCTTCCACGGCTGGTACGACGGCATTGCCACCTCGGGGCCGGACGCAGCCGCCTGCGGCGGCGCCGGCGCGCCCGCGGGTAGTGCCGCTGTCCGCTGGTCAGAGCCGTCTGCCGCCTCGCCCGCGCCGGCGGCCGCGGGCGCCGCTGCATCGGCGGGCGGAAAGTACGCCTGCATGGTGCAGCGCCGCTGGCGACGGCGAAGGAGGCGGAGCGTGTCTTTGCCACAGCCAATAAGAACGTGCGAGCACGGTCTTGTTTTGGGCAAAACAAGAACGTGATTGCATCACTCGCTAAGGACGTGAAAACAAGGCCTTCCCCAGGGTAAGTACGTACTTATCTCTGAAAATTTTCTTCGCGCGCTTACGCGCGCGACGAGTTCACGCCCTACGGGCGTGTGGCCTGCGGCCACTAAGGTTGCCAAGCTCTGGGGTTGACACACAGCGCCGAGGTTGGCCGTGTCACCATCACCGACGGTGGAGTCGCGCCAGACTCCGTCGGTGCTCAAGACTGTGCAGCTTCATGCCGGCGGCCCTCCTCACGTCCCTGGCCCTCGCTAGCGGCGGCGACTTCCTGACGCGCAACGGACTGGTACGTAACACAATCACTCCTCTCGAGCACGCACCTATCACCTCTTTGTGCCGCCCAACGTATCGTTTGTGATGGCGCACACCGCTCGCCGAGTGCGCTCATCCTCGTCACATCACTCGTCGAGCGCGCACATCACTCAGCTTGTCGTCACCCGCCTCAGTCGCTCGAGCACTACCTAGTTGGCCAGGCGCACTACGCAGGGACCAAGTCTTTCGGCACTGGGACGTCCATCGGCCCCGTTCCAACCGTCTTGGACGGCATCACCTCCGGCACCGAGAAGGCGGCTGACGGCAACTCGCCCTCTAACCCGACGTGCTCCGACACGGACTTTGCCTCGGCCTGGTGCGGAATGGAGGCAGGCCCGTGGGACTACGTCCCGTCGGTTGGCTTCTCGGACATCGAGCGGTACATGGACGCAACCGGCCAAGTCGCTGCCAACCAGTTCCTGTGCCTCACTGACAATGGCTTTGGCAATGCAGCAAACTCGTGGGACTACCCTTTGCACCTCAACCTGTGTGCCGGCCGACCCCTCCCCTCGCCATCACCACCCCTTCCCTCATCGCCCGCGCCATTCGTTCAGGATTGAGCTCAACTTTCCCTTCGCCTACCGCCACGGCGAGGCCACCTTCCCAAAGTGGAACACCGCCGTCTCCAAAGGCATCATGCTGCTGCACGACCCCGACGGCCACATCCGGTGGGAGAACGGAGCCGACATCCAAGTGGCCTACAAGGTGCCCGATGGCACGTGGGAGACCCCCAAGGCTGAGCTCGGCGGCGCGTCTTACAAGTCCGCGCGCGTCCTCACCGGCCGCGACTTTGACGTGGAGGGCTTCGCTATGATCAATCACACTTACGGCGCGCTCACACGCTTCCCCCCCCTCTCCCCTCCCCCCACCCACTTCAGGGGAAGTACAGCGCACACACACACGCTCTGTGCCCTTTAGGCATCATCGGCGACGAGCTGATGCCCGCCCTTTTCCCGATCGACGCCTCGACCGGCAAGGTGAAGGGCCCGATGGTCCGCACGCCAGACATCGACTCGACCACCGGCGAATTCAACGGCAAGTACCTCACCTCCAAGGGCGACAAGGTGCACTGCTCCCTCGCCGACCTCGCCACCAACGAGTGCAAGATCTCAGACGACGCAACCGCCGACGCGTCTGAGTACGTCAGACACGGCTCGAGCGGCGGTTACGAGGGGCTCGTGTCCATGGGCAACAACCTCGTCATCGGATTCATCGAGCGCAACGGCGGCTCGACACTCGCCGCGCGCGGCGAGCCCGGCATCCGCGTTTTCAACATCATGGCCGATCCGCTCGCCTTCACCTCCTTTGCCGGCTTCTACCCCTTCGAAGACGGGGCGTGCTGCATCGCCGACGCGTACCCGCTCCCCGGCTCATCGAGCAAGATCGCCGTGGCCGAGCGCTCGGGCTTTCCCAATGACAAGAACAAGCTCAGTCAGGGGATGCCGGTGTGAGCGCTCGCCGCGCGCCTCCCCCCTCCCCCGCCCCCATGCCCACCCCGGCCCGACCACCACTCATCGGTCGTCGGTCGCGTCTGCTGCTCAGAACAACCGCATCTGCATCATCGACCTGAACGAGAAGAACGACGACCACACGTTTAAGAAGATGTGCCTCGCAAACTACATGAACGTCGCCGACCCGTTCGATGTCGACGGCAACGGCGTCTTCACCTACGCCTTCTCGCAGTGGACGACGGAGCAGCTTATGATTTACGACGAGCACTGCTACATCGCCGGCACCGACACGAACTTCCCTGCGGTCAACCAGTTCGGACTCATCCCCGCCGAAGCGCCCGACTTGGGCCAGACCTTTGACACGCGCTGGATGATGGTCTGCTTCCACGACGCCGTCTTCGCCGCCGGGGCAGGCCACTTCCCGGACTCGTCGCCACCCGCCCTCTCGGACGCGCCCGACTGCGGCGAGGCGAACTCGTGCCCCAAGGGATCCATTTGCCTCGCGGTCTACCAGCAAGGCATGGGCCCGTCGCGCGAGATGCTCTTCGGCTCCAGCCCCGACGTGCCGGCAGCCCTCGCGCACAAGTGCCTCGCCCTCTGAGCGCGGACGAGGACTGCGGTATCCGCAGATTTGCACTGCACTCCTGCTCGAACTCCTGCTTTCTGCGTGTGTGCGGGGGGGGGGGGGGGTGCATGCGGCTGAAGACAGCCGTTTTAGATGTACACGCCAGACGGCAGCCGGGAGCGCGCAGCGGCGGGCAGGGATGTCGTGTCTGGAGCGTGTCGCTGTGTGTACACGTGTGAAGGGGCTGGTTTGGTGCAATGCGCTACGAGGTCCCAGTACGGTAGCAGAAATCGGTATATCAACGTCTTGACCCCCCCCCTCCCCCCCTCTCTAGCAGCAGGGATGAGCTTAGAAGTGCAGGGGGGCCTCAGCCCGACAGCCGTTCAGTCTCCCTGCAGAGACTCCTCTCCTTATGCGCGTCCGACATGATGCCGCGTCTGACATCCTGCAGAGACTCTCCTCGACTAGGCGTATGCATTGCCCATCCAGGGCTATCACCTGGACCTATTCAACAGGCGCCTGCGGCGCCGTGCTCAGCTAGCTGCTCAGGAGCTGCTGCTCCAACCTGTTCCACACTTTCGTACGGCACAGTAAGAGCTACAACCCCCTCTCCCTTTTCTCCCAGAAAGCTAAAAGTGCGTACGTACACTGAAAATTTCTTGAATGAATGCGAGGTAATTCCGTCAAATAACTTGAAGGTCGCGTCAATTCAAAAGTCACGGCGGAAGAAGGAACCAAGGCCCCGCTCTGGACTGGGCGCTGACTGACTGGCTGGTCTGCAGGAGCTCGACGTGTGCAGCAACCAGCTCCGCGCGCTGCCCGCCTCAGCCGAGCGATGATCACAGAAAACAGTCTGTCCTTGCAGCGACTCCTCTCCTTATGCGCGTCCGACATCATGCCGCGGGCTGAGTCGCATGATGTTCTGCCAGTCGCCGTCGCCTGTAGCTCGCCGCTCGCGAAGAAACGGACCCACAACAGACCTGCTGACACAAACGACCAACACCCGCAGCCAGCCGTGCCTCGCTTTCGTCGCCGGACTCAGTTGTGCCTCGCTTTCATCGCCCTCGTATTTGTGCTGGTGATTGCGAGGGCGGCTGTGCAGACCGTCGTTGGCAATTCCGTGCTGAAGCTGGAAACCTTCAGCCTCGCGGCTGGCGACGGAAGCTCGCTGCTCGTCGAGGCGACAGGCGTTCTCGACCTGATTCCTCTTCCTGTGGGCTGCAGCATAACTTCTGCCAGCCTCGACGTCGTGCACGGTGGTGGGGTGGTGGGCCGGCTGGAGGTGGGTCGGATTTCGCTCGACAGAGGCGGTGCGGTGCCAATCACCATCGCCGGCCCAATGGCTGTGCCGCTCGGGCTCGGTCCACTCCAGGCCCTGAGCGCTGCGGTGGTGCAGGAGTCGGAGCTCGAGCTCGACGTGGCTGGATGGGTGGACGTGCATGTGCCGCTGCTCGGCCACTTCCGCCAGCTCTCGCTTGTGAAACGGCTACACCTCAGAGGCGCGGGGGGACTCGACCCTCTGATCGACTCGTTCGAGCTTCAGCCAAACCAAGGCAACGCCACCGTCGCGCTTTCGATGGGGGTGCGCATCCGGAACCCGTCGTCCTTCCAACTCCTGTCCATCGGCGTGCTCGACTTCTCCATCCTGACAAGCGACGGCACGGCCTTCGCAAAGGTGTCGACGGTCGGACCCGTCAGCATGCGGAGAGGAGTCACTTCACTCTCGCTTACTGGGCATCTCGCCGTCCCCGACGAGGAGTCGGATGCGTTTCGCGCGGTGCTCCATGACTACGTGTCGGGCAGGGCGTCGACAGGGTTGACCGCTGTCATCACCGCCGCCAGCGAGCCGCTGTTTGATGCCGCGCTCTCGTCTCTGCGCCTCGACACGTCGCTTCCAGGCCGCCCAGGCGGCGCGCACTTTTTCGACGAGATCGCAATGTCGCTGGACGTCCCGCAGGCGCTCACTGGCTTGGTGACGAGCAAGCTGGTCAACCCGTGGGGCGACGCAGTCGTCCACGCCTCCGCGGCCTGCCGCGTATCCAACCCGTTCAACGTCTCGGCTTCGGTCCAGGCAATCTCGATAGGCATCGTCTACGGCGGCTCCAAGGTTGGCTCCGTCACGATGCCGCGGCTCGACCCGCCGCTCGCACTCGCGGCCTTCTCGCGCCGCCCGTCGGACCGCGCCTTCCCGATCGTTCTGCGCGCACCCGCCACCACCCTCAACACGCTACTCCTCGAGCTGCTCGCAAAGGGCGCAGTGACAGTGGGGCTCGACATCTCTCTCGACCTCAGGGTCGGTGTGGTGGGGCGGGGCACGGGCAGCGCGATGCAGATCGCGTATGCGGAGCCCGAGGAGCGAGGTAGCCGTCCGCGCCTCTCTCGGCGGAGGTGCCAGGTGGAACGGCGTCCGCGGCGTCCGCGGTTGCCGGAGCGACGTCGACAGCTGTGCAACAGGGCGTGGCTAGCCCCGCCGCTCGCTTGCTCGAGAACAGAGTCAGGAGCGAGCAGGGTGGCGGGGACACATACTCGTACGGCGGCTGGCTCGGCTGAGCCGGAGCGCTGCACACATGCATCGTCAACTCAGCCGAACTTACGTTCGGGCGACGGGCGTGTTGGTTGTCGATGTTGTCTCTCTCCATATGTACACGCACTTATACAGTTCACCAACCCGCCGGACACCGTCTTGCGAAGCCTGCGGCTTGTGTTGAGTCCGTGGATCACGCTAGAAAGGGGAGTGCGACTAGCGCACCACTTGTCGCGACTAGGTGGGGGCCCAGCCTTGAGGGCCGGCTCCCGCATTCCGCGGATCCGCGCTTGGGCTCCCGCATTCCGCGGATCCACGCTTGCACGCGGCCTCGCGAAGGCTCACATGCACGTATAGTCCGCGGCGCACTTGTCCGTCGAGGCGAACATGAGCTTGCGGCGCGAGTGCGGCTTCGGGAGGCAAGCGAGTCCGGAGGCGCAAGCCGGGCGAAGAGGGTCGCACGCTTCGCCGATCGAGATGCGAGGCTTGAGCATGCAGTTTGCGTAGAACGTGGTCGTGGCTGGCCAGTCGCTGAAGATGCCGAGCTACAGCGGAGGGCGGAAGCTTAGCGCAATGTCTGTTGGGGCGCCACTCACAGAAGTTCGGATTGTGTGTACCACGCCGACCTTTGTGGCGAGCGTGTGCGTGAGGTCGAGCATGTCGCCGTCCACCTTGGTGTGGTCGTTCGAGGTGCCGTAGTACCTGTTCGGAAATATGCGTATGAGAGTGCATGGTTGTACCGAGGGGGGTGAGTAGCTTCCTTATTGTGTTCGATCACGGGCGATCTCACGCAGCACACTCACGCACCAGCCGCCGCCCGACACGAGCGGACCCGACCGCTCGAGCGTCCAAGTGATCAGCTCGAAGCCCTTGGCTTTGGCCGCCATCGCGTAGTTTGACGGGAGGTACTCGCCTGCCTCCACCTGCGGTGCGTGCCGGGGGAGGAGCACTCTCCGTGAGGGGAGCAGGGGAGAAAAGGGGCCGCAGCCCGTCAAGCACCAACCTTGACGAGCATCTGCATCGGAGGCGCCAGGATTTTCACGCCGGCCGACGAGAGCCTGTCAAAGGCGTCGATCAAGCCGCCTGCCGTGCCGTCCGTGTAGTTGTTGTCGAGCATCACCGCCTGCGGGCCAAAGCCAGCGGGCGAGGCCGCCAGCCAGTACATCACATCCTGCTCCACAAACGACTGCAGCCAGACATCCGACGGCGCCACGCCCGCACTCGTGTACTCATCCATGAGCTTCTGGCGGATCGTGTTGTAGGCAGGCATGCCGACGCCTGCAGCAGGGCGGAACTCAAGCGTGCGTCCCGCAGCAGCCCAATCCTACATATCTCGGGGGCCCGGCGCGCGCCCGGCGTGTAAGCCTTGAGCTCGGGCGTGAAGAGCGCGCCATGGCTCTTGATGAGCTCCACGGACTCCGCGTGAGAGACGACGGTTCCGCAGGTGGAGTAGAGGTCGGTTCGCCAGGCGGCGGTCCCCTTGACGTACTCGTCGGCGGTCGTGGCCGTCGAATCCATTCCGTCCATCTTGCCGCACAGTGTCTTGTACTCCGCGAGGGTGATGTCTGACGTGCAGCACTTAGCCGAAGCACCAGTGCCGCTGTCAGGATCTGCGGGCTTGAAGGGCTCCGTGCACTTGTCAGCGAGCGAGGTGAGCAGGATGTTGGTGGTGGTGTGGAGGTCGCACTGCGAATGGCGGCACACGAGCTCGCCGTCCTTGGTCACCGCCACATCGCACTCGATGATGCCGGCCCCGGTTGCCGCCGCCGCCACGTATGACTCAGCCGTGTGCTCTGGGAACTGCATGCACGCACCGCGGTGGCCGATGCTAAAGGTGTGCTGCTCGAAAAAGGACGGAGGCTGCTTGAGGCACTGCTCGAGGTCGTGCTTGATCGTGGAAGACGAGCGCATGGTCGCAACGAGGAACTCGGGGCGGGGTCCCTGCGGCATCATCACAAACAGTCTTTGGCGAGCGTCACGCCCTCACATCCGCGATTATGCCGTGAATCAGCGCGGTGCGGCCGAGGCTATCCCGCGCCATGGCGGTGCCGCCGAGGCTATCCCCTCTTCGTGCGGTGCGGCCGAGGCTATCCCGCGACGTGTGGTGGCGACGCCTCCTGGGGAAGCAGGGACAGGTGGGGCGCGCACGAGAGTCGCGAATCCGTTGCGCGTCAGGAAGTCGCCGCCGCTAGCGACCATTTGCCCGAGGGCCAGGGACGTGAGGAGGGCCGCCGGCATGAAGCTGCACAGTCTTGAGCACCGCGGAGTCTGGCGCGACTCCACCGTCGGAGATGGTGACACGGCCAACTCGGCGTATGTCACGCCCCCTCCTCGCATGGTTGAAAGGACGCAGTTCTCAGGTGTGATGCTGCACACCCACCATCAGGGTACGAACCGCGCTCCAAGTGCTCCATCCAGCACCGATAGCTGGAGTGTACAAGTAAAAATGCGGCGAACGCAACTTTAAGTTGCAGCAGCGGCCTGGCTGGGCCTGCTCAAGCACATCATCAACGAGATGGCCATCTCGAACGCCACCTTCTTTGTACACCGTATGGTGTGGCTCAAGAACGAGCGGACCATCCGCACGGTTCGCGCACCCTCTCCCATGCCTAACGCTCCAGTCTCGTAACCGCCCGACCAACCCCCTTTGCCCTCGTGCCGCGTACTGTAGGACTGCATGGAGGAGCCGATCATCGAGGTGCGCCGCATGCGCGCGGCGTACGGCCTGGCGGACGCCACGGTAATTGGGCCAAAGGAGCGTGACGAGCTCGCTCGGCTGCTGCTGAGCGGCAAGCGGGCGTACGACCTGGAGTCCGCCACATACCAAGCTTGGCGCCAGAAGCACGAGGAGCAGTACATGCAGTGGCGGCGCAAGCGGGTCAAGGCCGCGTCAGAGCGCCGCGCAGTGCTCCGCGAGCGCCGCAAGCAGGCGCAGGCGAAGAAGCGCAGCAAGTGACCGACGCGTGACACGCGAGTATGGCGTCTCTGGCGAGGGCACGCGCCCGAGAGAGTGTGTGCGTGTGAGTTGAAAGCTCCGCTCCCGGTCACGGTGTCGTTCTTTGTACCGCGTAAAACTTTGTTTATGTCTGACCAGGAATGTGTCATTAACACACAAACCCGTTACGAGAGCGCCCAAATCCTTCTGCAGTGCTTGGAGTGCTGGGAGTGCTCTCTCAATCTCGCGGCACTCCTGCTAAACCGCGCAGTGGTACAAAGCAGGCCCTACTGCAAATCCGCAACTTTGCGCCGGACACTTCGGCTTCGGTACCTTGCCTCAGCTATCAGCATCGGTGACCGTACGCCGCAGCGTCGCAGCATCGAGCTATAGAGCATCGCACCGAGCTCAGCGGTCTGATCACAGAGTGCTCGCACCGAGAGGGCGTCGTCATTCTCCGGGTGGAAGAAGTCTCTGTAGGCGCCACCGGCGCCGCCGAGCATCACCATCGGTCGGATGCCGCTGCGGCTCGACGCGCGTTCGACGCCCTGGAGCAGCGGCTTTGGCCTTCAGCCACTTTAGCCACTCGATAGTGCCGCCGACTGCTTGCCGACATAAGCCCTCGACTGTGTCTTCCGAGTCAGCCTCTCGCTCGCGGCACGCGTCGCTGCGGCCAGACTGTGCCGTCTCAGGGAGCAGCGACCTTTGAATCGCCTGTGTCTGCTCTCCTCTTCGGCAGGGAGGACAGGCGAGACTCCTTTCGTCCGTCCGAGAAGAGTTTAGCTTCGCAGCAGAAAATGTGTCGCTCCCGCCTTGACACGGAAAAGAGCGGCGGAAAATCAAGGGAAAAATCTAATTCTCTGGTATTGCTAAAAACCTCTCTCTCTCTGATTCGTCGGCGGGATGTGCTTGCAAATGTCATGTAACGCCATTTCATGTAAAGACGTGTTCATGTGGGTGGTCGCTCCACCTCATATACACCGCCGCGGCCGCCACTCATCGCCTCTTTCGCCACTTCCCACTCTCTCTCTCCAAACCCAAGACCCCGGCAGAGTCCGTTCGGAGAGCACCACACACAACGCCGCCGACTAGACTCCACCCAAAGCCGTCGCCCCGCGCCAAAACGGGGTTGCTCCGCCCAGCTTCCTGTCGCCTGAGGAGGACGCTGGTTGGCGGCGCGAGGACGCGCCGGCGAGCGCCGAGACCGCACCCGCCCGGGCAGCGCAGGCTGACGCAGAACTACGTGAAGTCGTCGTCGTCCCCAGCAGCCTTGGCCCGCTTGCCAGAGGAATCATCCGTAGAGGTGGTGGGCCCCGCCGGCTCAGAGGGCACCTCAACGTGCGGGAGCAGCTCCAGGCTCGAGTACTTGGCCGGCTCGAGCTTCTTCTTGGTGAGGATGGCCAGCTGAGAGGGCGCATCAGGGCTGAGTTTGCGGGCACTGCTGGGGACGTGGAGACATGGGAGCGGCGGGCTGGCGAGGTGGGCGGGATTGGCGGGTATGTGAGGTGGCAGCGAGCCGCAGGCGTTGCGCGGCCTGGAGCGTGGCCTCGTGCAGCTTCTTGAGCTCCGAGGCGTCGCCTAGGACCCGGTCCAGCGCCTCGTTCTTCGCCTTGGCCTCCAGCAGCGCCCGCCTTTTTTTCCCGTCGAGGTTGCGCTGCGTCAGCTTCTGCGCGGCGGTGGTCAGCGCAGAGAGGGAGCCGCCCGAGAACTGGTACGCCGTGAGCGCCGCCGATCGGATGGCGCCCGGCTCGGCGAGCGTGTCGAGCCGTCCAGCCAGCGCCGCCACCGAGGCCATGTAAGTGAGCAGCCGAAGCATCTTCTCCTTGGCCGTGCGAGCGACGCCGGTCGACTGGTGCAGAAGCGCGTCGTAGTCGCTGGCCTCGGCGGCAGAGAGATGCGCCCGCGCGAGGCTCTCGTCGCAGCCCACGTAGGACAGCATCTTGACGACGAAGGTGACCTTGCAGCCGGTGCGGATCATGGTGCCATGTCCTAGGAGCGTGACCATGTTCTGCGCCGGCCCAAAGCCAATCACCTCAGAGAAGAGGAGCGCGAGCCCGTTGCTCTCGAGGTGCTCGGCCGCCTCGCGAAACTGCTCGAGGGTGCAGTGCTTGGGCAACTCGCTCGGCGTGACGAAAAAGCTGTCGGTGACCATGATCTTGCGAGCGCGCCCCAGCATGTCGGTGGCGGGGCCAGGCGTCCGGCCGGCGGACCCCTGTCCGCCCGCCTCCGCTGCCGACGTCGGCACGGCCACGACCGACGGCACGTTGGCGACCGGAGGCAGCACGTCCTTGCCCGCGACCACGGCGGCGTAGCTCGACTTGAGAAGCAACTGCCCGGTGATGAAGGCGAGGTACGTGGACGCCCGGTCGACGGTGGCCACAAGCCCAGCGCCGTTGGGGTCCCCGGCGAGATAGTCGCAGCCGAGCTTGAGGTCTTTGCGCTCCTGCATGGCCGCGATCAGCTTTTTGAGGAAGAGCGGGCCGCCGTCGGAGTCGACGATAGGCATGCGGCGGACGCCCTGAAGCATCGAAAGGAGCTCCGCGCCCTTGCGGAGACGGGCCAACGTGGGGCAGCGGCGCAGCATGTGTGTGCCACCCTTGCCTGCGGCGGCCACGTAGCCGGCCTTGCCTGGCCCGTCGGGGCCGCTGCTCTGCCGCATGTACTCGTTGTCGTAGCACTCGAGTGCGGCGACGAGGAGGGCGTGCGCGCCACCGGGAACGTCCGGCATCATGGTCGATGTCTCCGTCGCGAACCGCTTCCTCTGCATCTCCATCGACTCCTGCGGCGGCGGCGCACCGTCGGCGGCGCCCAACGACGAGCGGCGCGAGGAGCCCAACGACGACCGGCCGGAGGAGGTGAGGCTCGGAGGGGGGACGGTGTCCTCGCCCTCCTCCTCCTGCCCCTCCTCCGAGAGCGGCGCCCGGTCCACCCCCTGCACGCCTGTGCCATTGTTGATGTCCGCGTAGTTGAGGACGCTGTAGTCAGCCCCCGCCGCAGAGAGCTGCGACGCGGTCGGCTCCTCGTCCTCCTCGCTGGCCTGCGCCGCCTCCTCGCCCTCCTCGCCCTCCTCGCCCGCCGCCTCGGCCCGCTGCGCAGCCGCCGCCTCGGCCCGCCGCGCAGCCGTGTCGCGCGTCTGCTCCTGATACGCTGAGAGGACCGAGAGCGGCGGGAACTCGTCCGCAACCCACGCCGCCATGAGGAGCTTCATCGCCCGCTCCGTGAGCGCGCCGATCAGCGGCGCCATTTTCTGCTTGCCCTCGTCCGACAGCAGGTCCTTGTAGTCGGCACCGAGAATGGAGGAGAAGTCGAAGGCGTTCTTCTCGTAGAAGGTGATGAGGAAACGGCCGAAGAGGCCGTTCTTGTTCTTGTCCTCCATCTTAGCCATGCGCAAGACCGACTCGTGCTGCGTCATGAGCAGCAGCGACATCATAAAGTGCATGCGCTTGATGTCGGTGACACCGGTGCCCTTGGCGACCTCCTCGCCGGCGTCCCAAAACTTGGTCCAGGCGGAGAGCTCGGCCGGCGAGCTCGACTTTTCGATGTTGGCAACCCACTCCTGGCCCTCAGGGACGGACATAAGGAGGCGCCACAGATCTGGGTGAGCGACGAGCTTGTTCATGACGCCTAAGAGCGCAGGCACGCAGCAACGAGTGGGTGGCGAAGAGGGAGGAAGGGTGGTGCTCAATGAGAAGCGCACAGGAGGCGGTGCCGGCCGTCATCAAGCCCTTGAGGTCGCCGTTTGTCTCGCGCGGGTGATAGTTGATCGCCTCCCGGAGCGCGGCGGGCGCCTCCGTCTGCCCGTGCTCAGGCCGCAGAACCTCGGCTACGACGTTCGGGACAAGGGCTTGCGGGGCGATCGCCTTGAAGATCAGAGACTTGGCCGATCCGGTCCTGTGTCACATGCTTACGAGTGACTGCAATGTGTGTGTGTGAGGAAATGAGAGTGGAGTGTGACGCACCCTGCAACCACAGACCGATAGCACGACGAGAAGGCAGAGAAAGGAGTGCGCTTCTCGCCATTGGCGGAGGTGGAAACAACCATGTTGACGGCGCGCAAGAGCGCCTCGGCCGACGCCTCCACAACGGTCGCAACCGCCGATATGGGCACGCCTTGGACAGCGCTTGCGATGTGCGCGAACTGCATGGCGAGCACGTCGCCGTCATCAGCCAGCTGCTGCCAAGCCGCCTCCGTCTCCTTGGCGACAGCCTCCGTTGAAAGCTGTTCCGTCAAGCTGATCATCAAATCCTGGACGACCTCACGGACCGCGTCGTAGCAGCCCTGCTCCACTGCTTGCGTGAGGCCCGGCTTCTCTGGAACCTCCGCTCCGCTCGGCAGCGGGCTCGGCCCGGATGGCTGCGACTCGCCGTCCCGAAGCTCAGAGACCAGCTCATTCGCCGTCCCCAGTCCCTCGATCACGGGCGCCGTCACCGGTTGATCCTCGTCCATGGGCGGATTCAGCAGGCCTGCAGCCCTCCAGCCCTACACACCCCTCTAGCCCTCTCGGCCTCGTGGCGGGCACTCTCGGAAGATCCGCGCCATTCTTTTTTTGCGACCCCTCCCGGAGGCCCTTCCGACCCCTCTCGAGCCCTCCCGCCACGAAGATCCTCCCTTTGTCCGACCGTCCCTCCGAGCCCTCCCGGCGCCCGAGCCCTCTTGCCTATCACCCGAGCTCGGGGGGGCGGCGAGCCCTCCTGGACCCCACAACCCCTCCCGCCTCGCCCAGCCCTCCTGACCCCTCTCCCCGGTGGACCGCTCCACCCTCCCAGCGCGCTAGCCCTATGGGACCCTGTGGAGCCCTCCCGACGCCGATCCGACGGGGACCCCTCCAGCCCTGTGGGCTGGCGAGCCCTCCGGTCGGAGGGGTGGAAGTGGGAGGGCTCGAGGACGGACCCCTCTCGCTCCGGGAGGGTGGAGGGGTGGAGGGTGGAGGGGTGGAGGGGTGGTTGAGCCCTCTAGCTCTATCGATATAGCCCTACCCCTCCCGCCGTTTTAGGGCTTGCTGACCCGCTATGAAGAATTCTTAAATTTCGCTTCTCAACTATCAAAGAAAGAAAACCTTTTTCATAAATGAAAGAAACGTTCGCGGCGCGGGCGGCGTCCTGTCTCGCTCGAGCCGAGCACTGCCGACTCAGCCGCTGCAGCACTCGGCTCGCACGTCGTTGGCAACATGAGCGGTCCGTCTCCTCGACAAGGGCACGGCTCCTCCTCGAGGCCAGGGCCCTACGGTCGCGGTCGCGGCAAAGGCGGCCGCGGAGGCGGGAGGTGGGGCGGACGCTTTGATCGGGCCAAGAACGACTACGCTCAGCACTTTGTCGACACCGGCTTGAGGCCAGCAAACTTCATTCGCGACTCGGATGTCGAGGAGCGCTTTCAGGAGTACCCGAAGCTCAAGGAGCTGGTCGACCTCAAGGACGCGCTCATCGCCGAGCGGGCGACGCCGCCGGCGTGCCGGCAGGTCGACCTGCGAACCTTCGACCTCACGGAGCTGGGCACGAAGTTTGACGTCGTGCTGATCGACCCGCCGTGGGAGGAGTACCGGCGCCGCAAGGCGGCCGCGGGCGCGCTCATGGAGGGCGACGAAGACGAGGTGTGGACTCCGCAGGAGGTGATGAACCTGCGGATCGAGGCCATCACCGAGACGCCCTCGTTCTGCTTCCTCTGGAGCGGCTCGGGCGTCTCCTTGCAGTGGGGTCGCGCCTGCCTGCGCAAATGGGGCTTCCGCCGGCGCGAGCGCCTCTCTCACCCCGCGAGGCCGTGCCGGGCAGTCACGCACCGCTGAGCACTGCGCCTTGCACCTGTCGGCAGGTGTGAAGACATCCTGTGGGCCAAGCCTGCAGGTGTGACATCTCAGACATCTCCTGGGTCGGCAGGTGTGAAGACATCTCGTGGGTCAAGTCGAACCGCGCGACCGGCCGCAACACGCACTTCCTGCCCGACTCGGTCGTCACGCCGACCACGGCGAGCCTGCCACGCCCCCGCCCGCCCTCTTCCGCCGCCCGCCCTCTTCCGCCGCCCGTCTCCTCGCCCGCCCTCACCCCGCCCCTCTCTCCCTCTCCCTTTTCTCCCTTCCCCTCCTCCCCCTCCCTTCTCTCCCTGCAGGAGCACTGCCTCGTCGGCATCAAGGGCACCGTCCGCCGCAACTACGACGGGCGCACCGACACGCGCACCCACACCCTCCCCCTGCACCCGCACCCTCCCCGCGCCCCGCCGCCCACTCTCCCCCGGGCGCCGGCAGACACACACGCCCTCGCTACATTCAGCTCAGCGAGCTCAATCAGCCCGGAGTCGGCAGGCGCCCACCCATGCAGCTCGGTTGAGTCGACTCGACCTCCCTGTCAGGCACATCATCCACGCTAATGTCGACACGGACGTGATGCTGAGCGAGGCGCCGCATATCTCCCCATATCTCCGCATATCTCCGCATATCTCCCCATATCTCCTCGTATCTCCCCATATCTCCCCATATCTCACGTGATGCTGAGCGAGGCGCCGCCGCCAACCACCTCGGCGGAGCCGCCGCCGCGAGGCTCCCCGGAAGCCTCTCGGAGCTTTCCTCCGTAGGAGCTCCCCTTGCGGGTCCACCGAGAGGGGGGCCGCTCTAACGGGTGACGACGAGCCAGCTCAAGTCTAGGAGCCGCCGTACGGCTCCACCGAGAAGCCGACCGAGCTCTACGCCATCATCGAGCACTTCTCCAATGGCCGGCGGCGGCTCGAGCTCTTCGGCGACGCCGCCCCCTTCTCACACCGCCCCTCTCCCCCCTCCCCCCCCCCATTTCCCCTGCACCGAACCCCCTCGCCTGCGCCTCCCCCTCGCCTTGGCACCTCTCCTCGTCTTGCGCCTCCCCCCTCGCTTGCGCTTCCCCTTGGCTCGCATCTCGCACTGCCCTGCCCTGGGACGGCAGCGGTGCATATCTCCCCATACCTCCCATATCTCGCACTGCCCTGCCCTGGGACGGCAGCGGTGCGCCGAGTCCTGACCTGCGCCCGTAGGCGACGACCAGCTTGGCTGCTTCCTCACTCGACCACTCGAGCTCCTCAGTGAGTGAGTGTGCTGTGAACGGCCGTAGGCGAGGACCACAACTTGCGGCGCGGCTGGCTGACGCTGGGCAAGGGGCTCTCCTCGTCGAGCCTCGAGGTGGAGGAGTGGGCGAGGCAGTCCGACACGCACCGCGAGAGCCGCTATCCTCTCTCGGACCCTCTTCGGAGCCTTGTCTCCGCCCTCCCGAAGGCATTTTGAGGGGTCCCACGAGAGCCGCTGCTTCGAGGACGAGCCTGCGCAGTCGCTGCCGAACCACTTGCTCGGCACGACGCCGCAGATCGAGGCGCTCCGGCCGAAGTCGCCGACGCAGCTGCGCGAGGAGGCGGAGCGGAGGCTGCTCAAGGCGAGGCATCCCAGAGAGTGCGGCAGAGAGTGCGGCAGAGAGTGCGGCAGAGAGACGCGGTAAGTCTGTGCGGCCGAGAGTGCGGCAGAGGGACGCGCGCGGCCGCGGCAGACGATCGAGAGCGCCTCGCGCGCCGGAAGAGAAGGGGAGGGGCCGGGACGCGGTGTCTCGATGCAAGCCTCGCGACTCTCCGCGCCTCGCAGGAGCACCGCGCCAAGGAGGCAGCGCAGCGCGAGGCCGCTCAGGCGGAGGCGGCGGCGGCGGCAGCGACGGGCATCGGGTTTCAGGCTGGCCGCGAACGTTCCCTGAGCTTTCCGCGATCCTGCCGGTAGGCAGAGATGGGCATTGAGCTCGAGCCTGCGCCGGCCCGAGTCGAGGCGCCGCTGCCGCAGCTGCCCGCCGTGTTCCTCGAGCAGCACCCCTTCAACGTGGGCGGCCGCTAGCCGCCGCAGCGCTCAGCTCGTGTGACTATGAGTCAGACCTCTGGGACCTGAGGACGTTGAACCTTCTGCATGGCCGCATGCACGAAACGCATGCTGTGTTGAGGGTGAGAGTATAGAGCGAGACAGAGACAGACTTGTGCCGTGCACCTCGTCTGACTGTTGTCTGTTCTCTGTTGCGATGACTGTCGGTGGGAGCGAGAGCCGAGACAGAGTCCGACGCTTCGAGACGGAGTCCAGACCGTGCGGACTGCGGCCTGGGATATCCGTGTTTGTAGAGAGAATGCAAAACACGCGCGAAGGCCGAAGGGACAGCAGACCGCTCTCGCCAGCGGTGTGGGTCAGGGCGGTGCGGACAAGTGAGAAGTGTGTGCACACAGTGGGCGCTACTCACAGGGTGTGGTCACACAGGGGTCAGTGGAGGCTGGAGGAGGAGGTGGAGCAGGGCACGTTGAGGGATCGTCGTGTTTTCAATCAGATGCAATAAGTACAAGGGGCCAACGAATTCCACTTCGCACTGACCACTGAGCCGCGAGCGTCACGGTGCACACACGCTGCACGATGTCGTTGCACACCGGACACCGTCAACGAAGCGCTGGGCCGCCGCCTCGCTCGTTTGCGCGACTGCAATCCATCGCGAGGCCGACTCCATCGCGAGGCCGGCTCGCCCCACCCGAGCCCTGCCTCAGAGCTGGCCGAGAAACGTTGGCTTCTGCGGCAGGTCGTTCTCCGAGCGCAGAACCTTGTCTATCAGCCCGTACGACACGGCCTGGTCGGGCTCGAGGTACTTTGTGCGCATCGAGTCGGCGGTGATCTTCTCGAGCGGCTGTCCCGTCTTCTCCGCGAGCAGCTCGTTGATCGCGTTGCGCGCCTTGAGCACTTCGGTCGCCTTGATCTTGATGTCAGACGCCTGTCCACGCGCCTGCGAGCGCGGCTGCGAGAGCATGATGGAGGCGTTCGGCAGGCAGGCGCGCTTGCCCTTGACACCGTTGGCGAGCAGCATCGCCGCCGTGCCGAATGCTGTGCCGATGCAGATCGTCTCGATCTCGGGGCCCACGTAGTTCATCGTGTCAGCGATCGCAAACGCCTCGGTCTCAAACGCGACGCCCGCGGAGCCCACCGAATTGATGTACATGTAGACGGGCTTCTCTCGCGTCTCGTAGTTGAGGAAGAGCAGCTGCGCCACGACCAGCTCCGTCACCGACGGAACCAGCGGCGCCCCAACGTAGACGATCCGGTTGTTCAGCAGCAGCGAGGGCAGGTCGGGAGGCGGGCCGACCCGCACGCCGTCAATCTGCTGCACGCCGGCGGCGCCGGCGGCCATCCGCGGCGCGAAGACGCCGCGCGCGCGCACCGCCCCGCTGGCAGCGGGCCGCGCGGGGACGAGCGCGGCGCAAAGCCCAAAGATGCCCAGTGCGACCATTCTTGGGCTTGACAAGAAGAAAAAATCTGGGAGCCGCTACGGTCCGTCGCAGTTTCACTGAGATGAGACCGCCAGTGGATGTGGGAGTCCACCGCGCACCGCGCTGCGAGCCTGTCGTGTCCCTTGTCAGGAGCAGGAGAGCCCCACCTGTCCCCCTGATCGTCCTTCCAAAATCCTGCTCGTGCAGGTGGGGACCTTGTCCTCGTCCCATCCCTCGTTTGGCGTGTCTGTTTTCTTTCTTTCTTTCTTTCTTTCGCAGTTTCGCAAGAGGAAGAGCGCCCCCCGCAACTTTCCTACGGCAAAATCGTTTCATCTCAACCGTGACTTCTGACTCCACCAGCCGAGCAATCGGTACGTCCTCCGGCTCTTGAATCAAAGGCAGGTGCGACAGGCTGCGCAGTGCCTTTGAACAACAGCCGGCAAAAACCCCGCCCGCACAGCGCACATGCGACAAGCCGATAAGGGCGCCGCTGCAAACGGGCCGTGCTCGAGCACGGCCCCGCGAGCTTTCTTCCTTCACAACACGATCCACATCATCACAGTTCTACGAGGGTGGCGGGCGGCTAGTGCGACGCGGCCATCTCGAGCTTGATCTGAGCGATCGCCTTGCCCGGGTTGAGGTGCTTAGGGCAGGTCTTGGAGCAGTTCATGATGGTGTGGCAGCGGTAGACCTTGAAGGCGTCGTCGAGGAACTTGAGGCGCTCCGCCTTCATGGTGTCTCGCGAGTCGGCGAGCCACCGGTAGGACTGCAGCAGCACCGCCGGGCCCAGGTACTTGTCGGTGTTCCACCAGTACGACGGGCAGGAAGTCGTGCAGCAAGCACACAGCACGCACCTGCAAGGGGGGTGGGGGGGGGGGGGGAGGCCGTGCACGGGGATTCGATCCGGGATCGCTCGAGGCGGGCGGCAGGGGCTAGGCGCTTCCCGACGCGCCGACGTCGCGCGTCGGGAGGGGGAGCAGGGGGGTGGCCCAGGGGGCATATGTGTAATGGCGCACTCGTACAGGCCGTCGAGCTTGGAGCGGTCCTCCTTGGACTGGTAGTGCTCGACATCTGTGATGTCGTCGTTGATCAGGTAGGGCTGCACGGACTTGTGCTGCTCGTAAAAGTGCGTCAGGTCCGGCACTGCGCGCGCAGGGGAGGCGCGGGAACACCTCTGAGCACGCGGGCGCGCCCAAAGGGTGGGAGGGCGGTGCAGGGGGCCAGGGGGGGGGGGGGGGGGGGGG